AACCGACCTGTAAAGTTATCGACAAAAAGTTGTGCATCGATATCAGGAAAATCTCTTGCCATTGCTTGGAGAAGTACTTTTTGAAGGGCTCCCGGTCTTTCGGGTCGCTGGCCATGTAGGGGATTGCTAAATTCGTATTTTTAAAGTTTTTACACGTTCTTTTTTATACTTTTTATAGCGTTTTTAGCAATCTCCAATCGTGCTGATTTTTTTATTGTTATTATTTGTTTAAAATTTACTATTAGATTAGTTTTACAACTCTAAAATACGAAAACCCACCAAACCACTCACTCCACGTAGGATTCCCCACCGTCATACTCGCCATTTTCGTGAAAAATTCCACACATCTAAACATTAATTTTCGAATGAAACTATATAGCATGGTAATACTTTTGTTTCTCGTTTTTCTGTATACATTTGACGATGTAGAGTTTGAAGGCGTCATTTTCGTGTTGGGTGGCTATCCGGCTCTCTTCCTGCAATTAAATTACATTTTTAGCCGCTTTATGATGCCAAAAAAAAACACGTTAAATTTTCACTAGTTCTTACCCCAGAAAGTTGATTAAAAGTCCTTTCGTTAAAATTGCTCCAGATTTTCTTTAGCGAGTCGATATCGTGCTTTTCGATGGATTGCGTTATTTCTTCGACGACTCGTTCGACCTGGAAAATTACTTTTTCCCTTTTTAGGTTGTTTTTAAGCCTTACTTTTGTAGTTTGTATTTCTTCGTTTTGGTCTTATTTTTCGTTATTAGAATTTCAGGCAAGCAGATAATTCTTTAGACCGTTTTTAGCTGTATCTCGTAGTTTTTAAGTTAAATTGTAGTAAAGTACGCTAAACTTTTGCTTTTTTGGCTGTCTCGATAAAGTTCTGTCGCCTATGTATCACTTTTCTGCCCTGCGGCTACATCGCCATAACTCCAGGACATCATGCGCCAAATGACACCCTAGCCAATACCCTAAAAAATAATAAACTTACATAAATCTTGCCCTGCTTTTCCGTTTTCAGTTCTTGTTCGTAGGCATTTAACGTAGTGGCAAGCCCTCGGTACGTCAGATAACTTAAATTTAGGATTTTTTACAGATTTTTCGATATTTGCTCTTCTAAAACCCCAAAAAACCAACCCTCTCACTAATTCATCGGCCAGCGTCGACAACTCATCTGGCATTATAAAAAGTTGGTAGCCAGCTGATAGTTTACGTTATGCTGGGCTCTGGCTTCTAGATGCTGGCTATTAGCCCAGGGAATGGGGGCTGGGGCTGGCGGAGGGTACGGTCGGTGGGGCAAGTTGTTGGAAGGTGCACTAATTTGCATCCCAACGAGAGGTCCTGCTCCTCGCTGGAGAGGCAGCTCTGGGATACGGTGTTGGAAGTAGGACGGCTCAAGGTTTTGCTCAAATAAATACTTAAGTGCGGGTCTGCTAAACGCATCCGGTTGTAATTTACATCCTTGACGCTTCCCGATACCTTTAAAAGCCTTGGGAAGATGATTTTAATGCCGTACCAATATGGGACAATTTTTTAGACACCATAGACCTGACTTGGGATGATTTTGAAACCCTATAAGCAGTACGAAATACACCAAATGACGATTTTAGAAAGCCGTTTCGATGACTTCACCAAACTCTTTCGTGGTTTGGACAGTTTAGTACTTTTTAGGGTAGCTCTCACAGCAAGGAATGCTGTCGCAACACTCGACCACCTCACTCACTCGCTCAGCTAGCCCGCTAGCCGAACCAAAATAAAAACACGGTTACGTTTTTGCACTAAAAACTGGGTCGCTAGACTCGAGAGAGAGAGAGAGAGAGAGAGAGAGAGAGCGAGAGAGAGAGAGAGAGAGACAGAGAGAGACAGAGAGAAAGATAAGAAAAAAGAGAGACATTTGTTGAGTTTTGTCGAGGACATCTAACCCTCGGTCAGCGAGTGGGACTCGTTGAACCCCGATGGTTCTGTTCTTTTTGGATGTATCCACATTCCCACGGATCACCTTTCCGACTATTTCAGTTCCGCCAAGGCATAGTGGCTTCTTTAGCTCTCTCTCTCTTCTCTCTCTGTCTCTCTCTCTCTCTCTCTCTCTCTCTCTCGCCAGGCGGAACGTGCCCTTCTTTTTACGGAGATAGTTCGCAAAATTTGGTGGTGTTTGGCGATCCGATTGTCATGGTTCGGTGAGTCGTTCCCGAAAAGGGACAGCTATGCAGGGCTGGAGCGGGTCGGCGTGGTATTTTTGGTACTCCTCTAACAAAAATTTAAATCCAACATTTTTTAAATCGTTAGTTTCCCTGTTTCCCAGCGTTATGGTTTTTTTGTCATTTTGGGGCTACCGTACCTCTACTGCTTTCTATTTGCCATTTTTAATTTTGTATTGTATTGACTTCCACAATTTTGAGCTATAGTTTTATAATACCGTCATTTTTATACTGCCCTAATTTTACCATACGCTTCTTAGTAGATAGCTGTTTTCTTCAAGTATTCTACAACTTTTTTAACGACCCGAACCGGAAGCGGCAGTCCAACGGAGTTCCTTCTTCCGCTTTCGTCTTTGAAACCTACAATCTAGCTCGCAGCCCTTCCCCGTCTCCTTTTTTTGTTGTTTATTACTTCTTTCTGCCCTTGGAGCTGAGGCTCAAAACTCAAAAATCCTCAGACTCCCTGGGGACGGCCACTTTTTTATGAATATGTGAGAACGCCCCGACCTTCCAGCAGCTTGCTTTTCGCCCGAAATTTTGGATGAGGTCCCAGGAATTCGGGATCTAATATTCTGGTAGTTTTTTCTAGTTTTGCTTCCTCAAAGGTCGCCCTGCAAAAGTCACGCGGAATCTCGGCATCGGAAATAGCGTAAAGGTATTTCTACCTTTTCTTTGAAACCCGTAAGATTTGGGAGAAAACACAGCAAAAACATCTTGATCGAATGCACTGGGCGCTGGTGGGGGACAGTAAAAAAGTATTTCCTTGTTGCCCCCGCTGCCTGATCCCAGCTAGGCCACTTCCGGTTGACCGAATAAAGGTTTCTTCGTTTTCAGCTTCACTTCTTGAGGATTTTGATATTTTTAAAGGTTCAACGCATGTTGTAGAGTACCGTATAACCCGGTGTTATCCGGTTTCCGTGTTACTTCTGACCTATCTATTTTTTCCAAATTTTGCCCCCAGTTCAGGCATTTTCAAGTGCGTTTTTTTATGTTCTTGGAAGAAACACTCCTGAAGATCTAAGCCTAAGAATATATTCGAATCGAACTTTCTAATTTTTCGTTTCCTTCCTATTTGCAGCACCGTCATCAATCCATAAAGAGAAAACTCTCACATATTTCAGCGCCTACGCCGGCTCATAAAACTCCTCAAACAAGAGAGTGGGGGCTTGTTTCCGAAGTCAGAGTAGTTTTGCCATTTCGGGTCGACTTCCCTGTATCATAAGGAAGTAAGTTACGCCTTTTTTTATTCGAATAGAGAAGTTTTTCAGCTTTAAAAATATGCTACAGATCCTCTATGTATTTATTCTACTTTATTCTGAAACGTCAGCGTCAGTCATTCGTAAGTTAAAGCTTCTGAAGTCTAAATATTTTTCGGCTTGAGGACGATCCCCTCTAATTCCTACAGCAAGCCGCCAAAACCAAGTTAAAGTCCCGAAGTTTAATGCCGATGCGAAGTTTGTGGCTTGTAGTGATGCGGACAAGGTAAGCCTAATCTTATGTCTAAGCCTAAGCCTAAGCCAATGCCTAAGCCAGAGCCAAAACCAAAGTCGAAGCTTAAGCCTAAGCCTAAGCCGAATCCGAAGCCTAAGCCGAGTTTAATTCAAATTTAGGGTTCTCGAACAAAATCGAACACCTACGAGTCGGAATGCCAAGCCGGGAGGTTGATTTTTCAGGTTGGTAGCGGTAAATTTAATTTATTTTATTTTGCGAATTAGGTGGATCTTTATATAGAATTAAAGTACGCCTTAGGAAGGTATGGCAAGCGTCGAGTGGCTTGGTTCCAAAAATTACTCCACACATTTGAACGTGAAAGATAGAGGGATGGAACTAAGCGAGTTGATCCAGTTCAAGGGCGAATATTTGGCGCCGGATGACAAGACGGGAATTGTTTATAAGTAGGTTTTGTAGAGTTTTACAAAAATTAAGTTTCAAAGGTTCATAAAATAATTCAAATTTAAAGTTTAGGCTGAAAAAAGATGCCGCAGTTCCCTGGGTGTATCTTGGAGATGGGGATGGGCAGAGTGAACACGGTAATTTTTAGATATTGCTCTCCCTCTCATTCTCGCGCTCTTTCTCTCTCACTCTCTCTCTCGCTCTCCCACGCGCTCTCTTCCTTCTCGTGCTTACGCACGTTTTCAGCCTTCAAAACCGAGTGGATGACCGTCAAGGGAAACGCGATTTATGCGGGTTCTCACGGAACAGAATGGCTAAATGACGATGGCAGCATCAAAAATTATAATCGCATGTTCATTAAGGTTTTTTTTTTTTGAAACTATCGCTCTCTTCTTCGTTTAAGAAGTGTAATTAAAGTGTGACCAACAAAAACGTCAAATTTCAGAAAATCACCACCTACGGTAACGTCTTCCACTTGAATTGGACCGAAAACTACCAGAAATTGAGGAGCAAGTTGGAGGTACGTCATCAAAGTCCCTAAACCTAAGCGATGCCTAAGCCTAAGCCTAAGCCTAAGCCTAAGCCTAAGCCTAAGCCAAACCTAAGCCTATGCCTAAGTCTAAGCCTAAGTCTAAGCTTAAGCCTAAGCCTAAGCGTAAGCCTAAGCCTAGGTCCAAACCGAAGACTAAGCCTTAGCTTAAGCATCCTGATTAGCTTGGTTTTTAGATAGACTATCCTGGCTACGTCATCCACGAGGCTGTACTTTGGAGCGAGGTGGAAAATCGTTTACTTTGGTTTACAAAATGTAATTAAGGTTCACAAACGTTGGTTTTTCCTGCCCAGACAAGTCTCCCGAGCGCCGGTGATGAAAAACAGCTTTGACAACATGCAGGGTGAGTAAGCTAAGCTAGCTAAGCCGAAGCCAAAGCCTGAAGCCTGAGCAATATATCAAAAATTTAGGCTCCAATCTCCTGCTCACCACATCGGACTGCTTTTGCGATATCACCATCACCGAGATTGGGCCGTTGAAGTTGGAGCTCGGGTTTTCGAGTCTAACCTTCGTACCGGGTATTGTAGCGTACTTTTGATAAAACGTAAACTTTTTAGGCACAAATGACAACCTCATCGTCGCGATAAAAACGTTTGAACGGACCGGGTACCCGTCGACTTCATTTTTAATGGTAAGTGGCTTCGAAGGCTTAAATTCCGGTTTGGCTTAGGCTTATGCTTATTAAAGCCTTTAATATACCTTTTTTTAGCTCTTCGACATCCACGGCCAGGTCCTCCTCGAAGAGAGCATATTCCCAAGCTTAACGAAATTCGAGGGCATCACCTTCCTACCATCAGAAGACACCGTTTTTAGCTCCTTATGACTAACCGCCAATAGTACCCTTGCGAAACCAATTACGAGAAAAGAATTTAAAATTCTATTGTACAATTCGGCAGCTACAAATTTTTCTCTGCTGCCATTTTTCCTTACGGCCATCTTGATTGCTGGTAGATTTTTGTAACTTCTAAGGAAAATTTGACATAGTTTTTTTTGTTACATTTTCATTTTTTACAAATTTTTCTATGATTACATCTTTTACTGAGTGGCTTAACTAGCTTTTTCCTGCTTGATTTTGTATCTATTTTTCTCGTGGTCTGCTTTTTAGGAAAGAATTCATCCCCATTTTTTAGTGTATTTTATGCAGATTATAACTTGGTACTCGTTGATCTCGTGGAATAAAATTTTTTGCCTTTTTGGTTGTAATAAATGTTCTATTCACACTTTTACACTTTGAATACACATCTGAAAACAGTGCAAAAGCTCGTGCTCAGGCGGGACCTTCAAAAACAATTATCGCCGCGAGAAATCGGGGAAGAAGAAGCTCGAGCCAGCCAGACGGCAGATCCGACAGGCAGATCGCGGCAGCCTGGCTTCATTTTTCGGAATGCCGCGAATTTTTGGGTTAATTTTTGTAAATCTTTATCCTGAATATCTTTTCATACTTTTTTTTGTTGTTCTTCTTGCTGTTTAGCGTATTTTTCGAAGTTAAACCTTAGCCTAAGCCTAACCTAAGCCTAAGCCTAAGCCTAAGCCTAAGCCTAAGCCAAAGCCAAAGCCAACGCCTAAGCCAGAGCCGGAGCCTAAGCCTAAGCCTAAGCCTAAGCCTAAGCCTAAGCCTAAGGCAAACCTTAAAGGCAAACCTGCAGAGATGATTTGGGAACGTCAGGGCTGCTATTTCCCTACCTTGCAATAACAATCAAAAAAATCCCATTACCGAAATTCGGGCTTCCCCCACAAAAACGGAACCAAAACGATCAGCGAGCCGCCCTTGGCTCGACCCGCACTAATCCGCACCTACGCTATTAAATTGGGCTTTTTCGCGGGGGCGCCCTGTGGTTGAACCCGGCCCCGAATTGATCAAACATTTATTGAAAACGACACGCGGATTTCCCGGCCCCGGAAACCCCCGGAATTTTTGACATTCCACTCAATCGAAGCTGGTGTTTGAGCAGCTGCTCCAGCCCCCCAAGCCATGAAAGGATGGCTGCGGCTCTAACAAACTAATGTTCCGATTGAGATAAAATTTGGGAATTATGGATTTTAAATTTTCTTGTTGTTGAAACTTTTTACGGTTATACGCTCTGGTTGATTTTATTACATATTTGGAATGCCCTTGACAAGGCGCGTCGAATGGTGTATCTGACTTCTCAAAGTTCGATGCCGAGTTCAGATACCTCCCGAGTAAGCCTAGGCCAAGCTAAAACCTAAGCCTAAGCCTAAACCTAGGTCTGAACCTAAGCTTAATCCCAAGCTTAAGCCTAAGAGGCTTCGACTTTAGCCTAGGTCTAAGCGTTGGCCTAAGCCTAAGCCGAAGCCTCAGCTTAAGCCGATGCATTAGTAAGTCCCAAAGCATTCCCGGAATCCAATTTTAACACCCCCGTTCAGCGCAACGAGCCGGCTGCATAAATTGGAATGTGTTCGCAATTTTATGGCCTCCCGGAACGCCGGCGAGGTCATTTTCCGCCTGGCTACCACTTGCGTTTTATTACGGAGAGCCTGTTTTTGAGAATTTAGAAGATTTTCTTGGACTTCCTTTCTATCGCTGGCCGTCTATTCCTTTATTTAACGCTCGCTCGATCGCTCTCTTTCTATCTCTCTCTCTCTCTCTCTCTCTCACGCTCTCATCCACTCTCTTATCCTCTCCCCCGCTCGCCCTCTCTCTCTTGCCCTCTCTCTCTCGCTGGCTCAAATCCTACTATATATAAAAAAATAGTGTTTGTGTGTGTGTGTGTGTGTATATTTGCATGCACTTCCGTTAGGATGTTCCGCTCCTACAGCCTCGGGGAAGGGTTTTTTGGATAGGGAAGAAACGACAATAGGTTTAGAATGGTCCGGAATCGACTGCACACACATCAAAATTTTGAAAAATTGCGGTTTTCGCTATTAAAAATAGGTTTTTGTAAAACCCTGTTTGTTAGGGGAAATTAGCATACGCCGGAAGTAGGAAGAGCCTATATAAAGGGAAAGAGGAGCCGTTTTTCATTTTTTTTTCTTGCTAGAATTCAGGAAGAAACATGCAAATTAAGGACTTTCACAGCTCCTGGACGGGGCCAGGGTTGAAAAGCCGCGAAGCGGTTTTTCAACCCTGGTTGTACTAAAAAGTTACAACTTCCGAGCTTTTCTCGCTCTCGAACTAACGAGAACCTCCCATTCGACCCCTCGTTTGTTGTTCCCCGGGCCCGATTTTACGGTGGCCAATTTAGCGGGCAGCTGGTAATGGGGAGAGTTCCAGATGTTAGTAGTGTTTTGACAGAGTACGTAAACTTATGCCCAAGCCTAAGCCCAAGTCTAAGCCCAAGTCTGAGCCTAAGCCTAAGCCTAAGCATGCACCAAGCCTAAGCTGAGCCTAAGCTCCGCTGCTCCAAAAAAACCCACATTTTTGCCCTCGAACTCTCTCCATAATGCATTCCCAAAATGCAGAAGTCCCCCCGCCCCTGAAATTGCCGACGTGCCCCCGCCCTGCCGTGTGTTCCCAGGCATGTGGCACCCGATTCGCACGTGTTTATTCCTTCGTCGATGAGCCTCCCGTTTATCGGCTTCTCCCATCGCTTTTCCTGCAGCCAGCAAACGAGTGGTGCCAACGGCTTAAGACTCTGCTCCCTCGAAAAAACGCTCGCGCTCCTGAAGGCCAAGGCGGTGACTTTTTGAACGTGCGTTTGAAGGGGTACTTTGGATCCAGACATCAAAAAATAAGTTCAAGCCTAAGCCTAAGCCTAACCTAAGCCTAAGTCTAAGCCTAAGCCTAAGCCTAAGCCTAAGCTTAAGCCTAAGCCTAAGCCTAAGCCTAAGCCTAAGCCTAAGCCTAAGCCTAAGCCTAAGCCTAAGCCTAAGCCTAAGCCTAAGCCTAAGCCTAAGCCTAAGCCTAAGCCTAAGCCTAAGCCTAAGCCCAAGCCTAAGCCTAAGCCTAAGCCTAAGCCTAAGCCTAAGCCTAAGCCTAAGCCTAAGCCTAATCTAAGCCCTGAGCCTAGGCTTGTACTTCCCTAAAAGGCTGGCGCTCCTCAAGCCCAGGCGGCGACTTTTTGAACGCTCCTTTGTGGGGGATTTTCGCTCCAGACACTAAAGAGTTTGAGCTGCAGCAGCTGGGAGCTTAGGCGAGCAGTCTGCACGAGATTAGCATCTAGGTGTTCGTACGTTGCTCATGCTCAGCCTGGCTAGGTTTTTGACCCTCGGGTGCGTTTCTGTGCTCATCAGATGTTCGCTTCAGGGGGATCGGAAACTAGCGCTTGGGAGAAGAGACGATTTCTAAAGCTCTTGCTCATTCTTAATAAATTCATCTCTAATGATCGCCCCTAAAGATTCAAAAACCTATTTAAAATTCCTTATAAACTTTTGCTAGCCTGCCTTCCCGCCTAGCTAAGGCTCGGAGCATGACCCCTGATATTGGTTCTCATAAATTGACACCCAATCCCCTCCTCGTATCCCATCAAGTTCAGCATCATGCTACCCTCACCATGTGAAAGGCATCCCGTTTTTGGAACCTGAATGAGGCGACCTTTACGCCGGTTGTTCCTTCCCTTTCCTCGTTATCTACTCTCACTACGACCAGGAGGATCAGCTGATGCTCATGGGGGAGGGTGTTTATTTTGAGTTTGGTTTCCTTGGTATTGGCAGTTTCCTGAGGAGTTTAGGGAGGTTCACTATCTCTCTCGTTCTCCCTCGCTCGCTCTTTCTCATCTCTGTCTCTCTCGCTCACCCTCTCTCGCTTCTTATCGGATTATGCGAACTTATGGATGTCACGAAATTCTTATGTGAAAAGTTAATTCTTAGACTTTTTCTGATAAGCGAGAACAGAAGACGTAGAGAGAGAGAGAGAGAGAGAGAGAGAGAGAGAGACAGAGAGAGAGACAGAGGGAGAGAGAGGGGGGCGAAAAGCGAGGGAGGGGGAAGGCGGGGGGGGGGGGGAGGAGGAAGGCGAGATTGGGGGAGTAAGGGAGTTAGATATTTATTTTTACGTTACTTTTCACTCCTACAACCCCGATAGATGCTCACGTAATCGTGGAGGTCTATTTGATCTTCCCGTGCCCTCCGGGGGCAAGCAATTTCCATAATCCATCCCCCCTTGAGCTAGCTAGCTCCCCCCGTCGAACCATTCCCGGATCCATCCGCCCGCCGAAATTGGCCCCATTTTTCCGGCCACCCCCACCCCCAATGCAGCACGGCCATCAAACGTCCCAAGGCGATGGTTAGCGTCTCGCTCTCTGCATATTGAGACCCGCAAAATATGGAATCGCATATTTTGCAGGGAAGCACGCAAATTGAGCATTGCGTAGGCCTCCATTTTATTGTTGTTTTCCGCAAGTGGTCTTTGCTAGTTCGCTAGCAAAGGTGGTAAGGATTTCTGTTTTCGTAAAATTTGCATGGAGAGTTTACTTGCCTTTTGAAGTAGGAATTGCTCAAAATTTATGGTTTTCCGTTTCAATTTCCCCTTTTCTCAAAGGATCTCTGCTGGCTTGCTTGTGTTCCGCCCTCTTTTTGAACTCACCATCAGCACTCAATGCTTATCACCTCAAAAAAAGCATAACTTTCCGCAGCTCTGACGGACATCCGGTGCAATTCTGCTATTGGACTTCATTAGAAAGTGGATTTTTTTTAGCTAAATTAGATTTTTTAGTATGCTCAGTTCTTGCAAATCCGAGCTTGAACTCACCCGGAAAAACTCGTCCCAAAAATTTTATGGCATTGCCAGCAGTTTTTTATCGTCACCCGGCAACCCCAGGAGCCGACCTCCCCCAAAAAACCCACATCATACACCAACATCGCAGAGGGCCTGATGTGATTTTTTGTGTTTTTTCTAGTTCAACTTATTTGACCCCGACAAATACAGTAATTTTTCATTACATTCAAATTTTGCGCTGAATAATTTGAAATAGGTAGTCATTTTTCTCTTCTGAGGCGAGCTAGTTTTTTAAAGACAACTTAATTAAAGTATTTTATACTTATTCATGCACTAAATTTTCATTTTTGGCACGCTCCCTTCGAGGCGCTTATCGCTTGCTATCAGCCGACGCATGTTCCTCTACCACGCCCATCGCTCAGGCGTAATCTTTTACACACTTTTTGGCGCGCCGGTTGGACAATTTATGGGAAAGTGGGGGTGTTAGCTGAAGCCGGATGCATTCCCCAAATGGTTTCTGCTGGTTTTTGCCTTATTTTTCGAACCTATTTAGCATTTCCGATTTTCTATTGTTTTTTTTGTATTTTCGGATTTCCTAAAGAATCTCGGTTAGCTCTCCAGGTCCATTTTCGAGTGTGCTTTTGATTCTTAGGCAGTTCCTTGAAACTTTCCTCAGATTGTTTCTGCCAGTTCTCTCTTCGTAGGAACTCTGATCTGATTCTTTAAAACCATCGGCCAGCTTGGAGGTATATTTAAAGTATAATTGAGAATTCCGCTTTTTCCGGTTGAGACCCTCCACAAATGATTTCTGCTAGTGCGCCCATCCAGCTTTTCGATTGTCTGAAAGTCAGGAAGAGTGTGCCTCCTAAAAAATCACTGTCAGCTCGTCCTTTCGAGATCGTCCGATTTTTTTAGCGGTTTTCTTGATATTGAGAATCCACGTGGTCCGCAGGTTCCACTTATTTAGGTTCACATTTCCGGCGGATCCCATTGATGCTCTTTTGAGCCTCTTCCGTTTTTCCTAACCCAACACTTTCTTCCATCTTCTATTGCGTTGTTTTATCTTTTCGCCTGACGCGAATAGCGCTGAATCAGCCTCCCAAAACAGCCATGTGGGAATGGGACGCGCTGCTTTTTTGGAATCTTTTCGGTCAAAGCTTGAAAAACTTTCTCGTTTAGGTTTTTATACTTTCGTTATTAATATTTCTGCTTTTTACCTAATTTTTGCATAGCTATTTTGATTTTACATTTTATTTGGCATTTCCGGGTCGACAGCAGAAAACCGGTAGCTTTCCCTTCTGACGTACTCGCCCATGTAAGTGATGAATTTTTATGAGGATTTTTGAGCTATGTTTTCTTGCGTTCCTTTTTGGCTATTTCCGCCTTATCCATTGCCGAAAATAATATTATGCTTGTTTTTGTAGGAAGATCACCCGTTCTAGCGACGATCTCGCTCTCTCTATTTCTCTCTCTCTTCCTCTCTCTCTCCATCTCTCTCTCTCGCCCTCTCTCTCTCTCTCTATCAAGTTCCTGGATCGAAAAAATGAGATTCGAACCCCGAAGGTGGAACACTGATAGAACGAGGAAGATCTCCGCTTGTGCTTTTTTACACCTCGGAGTTATGCCAACTTCTAAGGCAGTTCAGGCGTAGCGACGCATAGACGGATCGTTTTCCTAACTGTTCCTCTTCCTATGCCTTAAAATATGTTAAAATCCACTGGAACTAGCTTGGCCCTTAGCCAAAAAAGTACATTGCAATGCTTGGAGTTGGACCAACGTTCTCAAGGAGTTCAAGAAAACGACCATTTCCCTAAGTGAGCAAAACATCCATATACTTTCTCGTGCTTCTAAAATATCACCATTTCGACCCGAACTATTTGTTTTGACGACTTCAACTTTGCCCCGAATTTTTGCCCGCTTTTTCCTGGAGTTCATTAGCCGGCAATAAATTTCATGCAATTTCATAGACGTCTAAATTCAGATAAAATACCATAAAATCCACCAAACCACCTCCGATCCAATTTCTCTTCCTATTTAAAAATTCAATCCCACCGCCACGACCCCAATCACCAACTTTTTTGTGCCCCAAATTTTCCCCGGCCGACAAAATGAGTCGACGCCGCCTATTCACGCCTCCTCATTTTTCGGACGCGTGGATTTCCACGGCTCCTCGCCATGAGGGGGGGGTGGCTTTTCGTGCCTTTCACGCCGGACCCGCAATTTGACGACTGTAAAAATCGGCAGCTGGTCACTGGCGTTCGGGATTGCTATACAAATTTTTGTAAAAAATAGAGGTCTATGGCGAATCGGCTTTATTTCGCGTTTCAGTGACCGCTGATTTTGAAAAAAATGGATTGATGCTTCTGTAAATTTGCTTGAAACATACCGTCTCTCTTTCTCTCGCTCCCTCTCTCTCGCTCTCTCTCGCCTTTTCTGATTTTCTGAATTCTAATTCATAGCATCGAAAAGTCTAATTTAGAGAAAGAGACGGAGAGAGATAGAGAGAGAGGGAGCGAGAGAAATGCATAGACGGACATAGGGTGCGAGAGGAGAGAGAGACACAGGGAGCAAAAAAGCGTCCTTGAAATAATTATCCGATGCCCCTATATTCTCTTGTATCTTCAGTTCATGCTCCTCACCTTATCTATTTTGGAGCTTCATCATACGTTCCTATTTCAGGTAAATGAAAGCCGGCGATGTGTCGATATGCATCCCCAGGCCATGTCCCCGGAGTGCTGAAACTCTACAGCTTACGATGGTGGTACTGTCCATCGGCGCGGCCTCTCACTTTATGGTAATCCTGATTTCAATGTCGTAACTGGTTAGTCTTCAGCTCTTCCTCGACTCGGTCGTCGACAACCTCCTCCCGGCAGCCATGCCATTTTTGTTGACAATCTACAAGGATAAGGATGAAGGTATGTTGCGAGAGAGAGAGAGAGAGAGAGAGAGAGAGAGAGACAGAGTGAGAGCGACAAAATCTAAAGAACATTTTTAGCCGATAAAGCCTGGGAGTTCCTGGTCTCCAGCCGCATCTACGGTCTAGCTGTTGGCTGCTTTCTCTCCGTCCTCTTCTCGAATCGGTTTGGGAGGCGGGTGAGTTAAAGTTTTCAGCTAGGCTGGGTTCGGGCTTAGGATTAGGCCTTGTTTGGCCCCAAGCTTAGGCTACTGAGGCTAGCTTTTATCAGCATTTTCCAAAAGGTCTTTTTAGACCCCGATCTTGATCGGTACGCTGCTCGACATTTTCGGCGTGGTCTTGTCAGCACTGACTGTTTACCTCCCTGGAGGCGTCACAGCAGCTGTTGTTGGCCGATTCATCAATGGAATTGGTCAAGGGATTGTGCAGGTTAGTAAGTACTAAGCTTCTTTCTTAGAACGGCAACATTCTAACCTAGCTATGCCCTCAGTTCAGATTTTGACGAAAACTTTTCCAGACCTCCGGCTCGGTGATGCTGGCCGAAATCCCGCCACTTCGGAAGCGAGGCACAGCTTTGGCGACTTTGGTAAGCCTAAGCCCAAGCCTAAATCAAGGCCTATTTCCAGACAATGTGGGCCTGCATGGGAGAGCTGGGCGGGATGCTCATTTCACTTGAAGAGCTACTCGGAACTTCACAACACTGGCATCTGGCCATGGCTGTGCCTCTGCTACCCTTGATTCCTGCTTTATACATTTTGTATCGTGCCCCGGAGTCGCCGCGGTAAGTAGAACTTCTCGTAGATAAGTGATTTTCTTAAATCCATAGATTAATCAAAAATTTGATTAACAAATGTATAAGGAAGAGAAAAACAATTTTTTAAGGTACCTCTTCATGCTCAACCGAGAAGTTGAAGCTCGAAAAGCGTTGAGTTACTACCAAAATTCATCAGATGCCCGGCAGACGGTCGACGAGATTTTTGAAGAGATGAAATTGGTAATTTCACCGCTTATGAGAAGAGGAGAAAGAGAGAGAGAGAGAGAGAGAGAGAGAGAGATAACGAGCGAGAGCGGGGGTTAATGGAATAGTGGTATTGATGACATTTTTCAGGAAGACGTCGACATCAACTCCAATAACCCCAAGATGAAAATGGCCAGAGAGCCGGGGGCCACCCAAATTTTCCAGCGCCTAAAAGATGGCTATTTCGCAAGGCCGCTCCTGATTGCCCTCTTCGTGCAGTCATTTGTGCATTTGGATGATTGGGTAGAGTTCCCGTGCTTCAACATATTTTGAAAGATTTTCTGAAATTTTAGTAACGATTAAAAACTTTTATGAGCCTTCCAGGGACGATAATGGTTTTATCTTTCAGCTCTGGATTTCCTATTCTACGCAAATTTTCGAAAATGTTGGCCTGACAGCGAATCGGGCACAGAGAGCTTCCTTGTTGATGTCGTTGCCTCAGGTGCGCGAGATTTCTGATTTTACAAGTCTAAAACATCCCGAATTCTAATCCACTTTAATAAGGCCACTTTTCACCATGGATTACTTACGGGCTTTGTCAAGTCGTCGTTTCCTGCCTACGTGACTCCTTTAAAACTCTAATTTTCAGGCCATCATCTCCCTAGCCTTACTCGGCTGTTTCGACAATTTCTCGAGAAGAGCTCTACTGATCATCCCCACCATGGCCAGTGTCGTTTTTGGGATGTTGGCCATATTCTTCACGATATTTGAGAAAGGTTAGTAGCTTGAGAAGGAGCAACAGCTAAAATACCAACGTTTGACTCATTGTCGGCATTTTAATGTCCGCATTCCGACTGGAAATCCTTTAGAAGCTCAGGAAATAAAAATCATATTAAAGCCTTATTTTCAGCCCTACTCCACGGCATTCCCATCGCCATCATCCTGCCCGTGTTGGCCGCATTTGACCTTTCGGCTGCAGCGATATCCGGCGAAAGCGCTTTCGCCATTGTCCCTGAGCTTTTCCTGCATAACGACAAGATTCTGGGCACGGCGATTGTTGGCATTGCACAGGTAGATAGCCCAGTTTTTCGGGGTTTTGCATCACTTTGGACTTCAAAGATTCTTTACTTCTACTTTTAGAACGTGTTCGGCGGCATTCTGACGAACTGCTTGCTGACGGCGGTGAACCACCTCGGTACTGGGAACGTGTTGGTGCCGTTCGTGGGGATGAACGTGGTCTACGTTGTCGTCAATTATTGGTACTTGCCGGAGACGGCCGAGAAGACGCCCCAGGTGAGAGAGAGAGAGAGAGAAAAAAAAAAAAAGAAGAGAGGGAAGAGGGCGGGGAGAAAGGGAGAGAGTGAGCGAAAGATAGAGAGAGTGAGAACGATTGAGAGAGAAAGAGAGAGAGAGAGAGAGAGAGCACGGCAGAGAAATAAAGCAATGCTAACTACATCTTTCTAGGAAGTTTCCATCCACTTCTCAGCCGATCCCCCTCTCCAGGGTACCATCACCTACATGTCGCGAAAACTCGGAGACCTCTACCACTTTTTCGTTCCGGCCAAGTTGTTCAGCTTCGCCAATATTCTCAATATTCTAATTTTCGTTGCCCAAGTGGCGTTCTGCGTGATTTTTATGAATGTCTTTTACGGGGTCGGGGTCCAGATTTTCCGCTTACTGGTCCATTAAAAAAATAGCTACCAATTTTAATTTATTTAGTTTTCATTTGCCTTTTTTAGCTTTTACTTGTATTTTCCCTTATCCCTGTGATTTGCATATTAACCATCCTTCCCCGTACATATTATTCTTTTTATTCCATTTCCAACTCGAACTATGGGTATCCAAAAATCAATTGAGGGTAGTCGCTTTCGCTGAAAAGCCCGCGTGTGCGTGTTTTTGTGATCCACAAAAACTGTGATAAAACGAGCTTTATTCCCGGGATTTATTTTGTATTTTGTATTATAATAAAGTGCTGCAATTTTTAAAATCGGTAAAATTGGATATGCGTCTAACAAATCATTTAATAGGTATCTAATAAGGCTTCAAAATTCAAAATTTCAAATCAATTTTTTCAATACTAAATCAATCAAACTAAGCGTTTCTAACGAATTGAATAGGCATCTAACAAAACTTTAATTTTCTGCTAAATTTTTTAACCAGAAAAATGAAGAACCAGCAATGTTGAGATCACAGCAGCGAGCCAAGAGAAAAATGAACGTAAAACATTCCAAAAAATGCAAGTAATTCTTAACGGTTACATCAAGCTATTCTTCGACGACCGGCATCCCTCCCTGGTTCCGGAAAAGATCCTAAAAATCAATTTTTAAGATTATTAAAATGATTTCGATACCTCAAGAGCAAAATGCGTCGATCCGTTACTTGCCGTATTCTCGCCCGCTTCACCAGTTGCTGCGCTGAAATAGAAAAATAATAAAGATAATTTAAAAATAGTTATTATTTATTAATTCTCTTAACAAAAAATACCATAATACTTTTAAAACTATTTTAAAATAATTAAAATTGAAAACCTAAATCAATAGGTAGCTAAAATCCTGTCTTAACCAAACCTTTTCAAAAGCAAAATCGCTTACATTATAGCCTTGTAAAATTTGTCCTCCTCGGTGTGCACCATGTGCTGCTCCTGGATTTGAGCAGTAGCCCTAGACAACGCAGAAATTATTTAAAAAACTGTCTTCATTACCTGATCGTCGCAAAGAAGCGCTGCTCATCAATCAGACCTTGATCCTCAGGAGCTTGATCTTTTTGAGCACTAAAAAATAAAAATCCAATAAGTGAAAAATTCCCACCTTTTAGCAGCGCGGGCCTGGCGCTTCGCCTCGAGCAACTGCTTCTCCTTGGCGGCGCATTGGAGTGCTTTTCTAAAAAATAGATGTTAGAACTACAAAATCAGAAAACCAACTCTTTAGCTTGTAGCTTAATCTGCTCCTCGGCCTCGAAAAGTATGTTATCAAGCTGCGGGATCGGGGCTTCGTCTTCGTCGTCGGATTGGCGTTTCGACTTCCTTTTTCTTGTTCTAAAACGGTAAATTAAATTTGCTTAGGTTCGTTCAAATTACGTTGAAATTAGCAAAAAAAACTCAAAGTACCTGGAAAGTTTTTAATAGAACACTAAAATTATAAAAAATTCTAATTCTCAATAATAATAGAATAATACAATGCTTATCCCTCTTATAATACAAAAATATAATAAAAATAATACATATAATTTAAATTGCCTATAATCCTATCATAGAAAAATATAATGCTTTAAGCGCGTCCTAAACTACTAACAAAATTAATTTAATTTCAAGAAAACCCACGTTCTCCTCGGCCCCTCCGTAGAGTCTGGCGGATAGTGGACGAGCCCTTGGCTTTGGAGAAGGCGTTCTCTTCTAAAAAAATCATTTATTGTTTTAAATTAAGATACATTCCATTCAAATACCGTTTTTAATTATTAAAAACCAATTAAAAAATTGCATTAAATTAAATTTCTTAAACGCTACCTCCTATGATACTTTGCCCGAGCTTTCGCGTTGATCCGCTCCCGTTCCTCCGGATCGGTGATCGGAAACCGTGACTTTTTCGGCTTCGGCTTTTCCTCATCTGCTGCTGGCTTGTTCGCTTCCATTGAGTCTCTTCTAAAAGGTAGTAGCTTAGAGTCCGAAAGTGCGAAAAACTCACTTCCTCCTCCAATACTCGCGCTTCTTCATGTCTTTGTGCTTTTTCTGCTCGTCCGTCATGTTTTCGTTCCTAAAATGATTTTAAGCCAAAACACAAATTTTAAAAAAACACTTTATAAATAAAAATACATTTAGAACAATCTATTTCCTATTTAAAAAGGTAAATAAGTACCTCACGACTTTAAAAATTTATAAAATTAAAATCTTACTTCTTGCGCATCACCTCCTGCCATTCCTCGCGCGTGTGGCTCATTTTTCTAGAAAAAGAACGTTAAAAATGGAAAAACCACGCGTCTTACGTTCTATGGTAGTACCACGTCTTTTTCACCTCAGACGGCGTGCCGGGCGTGAAATAGGGCCGGAAAAACCGGGGTCCCTTCATCATTCGAAGCACGGAGGCTTTGTTTTCTTTCCTAAAATACAACCCTTTTTTCTAATAATAAAAATCTTTTTAAAAACAGTAAAATTAGGGTTTTTCAAAACTTTAAATCCAAAATTTCTACATACAGCTCGTCGCGCAGCGTCGGAATGCCGAACGGGATTTCGGGAAATTTGGCGCGCAGCAGCTCGGCGCAGCGTGCGACTGGGTCCGGGTCGTCGGCGGCTGAAAATCGGGAAGTGAGATGTACCAAAAAACTCCAAATTATATTCTCTAACGTGGCATAAGCTTTATAAATGGACTAAAAGTATTATATCCGTTATTAAAAGTACAAAAATCCAAAATTTAGGCAAATACCGTACAAATACTTACGAATATGATTCTTCACGTAGTCGTAGTCTGGCTGGTGGCTCCCGAGCGGCGCTGAAGTCCTAGAAAAGTTCAAAATTAACCATTTATTTCTATTTTATACCTCGAACGGGGGCTCGCCGCTTTGTAACAGTGGCTTGCGGAGCCGCAGAGGTTGATGGAGATGGCGCAGAATCTGTACGAAATCGTTTAATGATGCTTTTAGAGATTATTCCTACAAGATCAACTAGCAAAACGAAAATACGTAAAACAACAGATTTTCGAAGCCCCAGACGCTCAAAAAAATATTTTTAACGCTGCAAAGTAAAGTTTTTGGAGCTGAGTTCGACAAGGAAAAAAAGCCTCCAAAATCAAACTACATAAAATACACCCTTTTCGAAGTTCTAAAACCGCAAAAAAAATCTTTAGTGTCGAAAATCAAATTTTTAGAGACGATTTCTGCAAAAAAATGAGCTTTCAAAATCAAAATACATACAATACAACATTTTGGAAGCTTTAGAAGCTCAAAAAGGGCCAAAAACATACCAACGTTCCCGAGTATATCATCAAGCGTAGGCGGCTTGGTTTCCTTCATTTCGATCTCCAAATCGCCTGTGTCATCTGAAAATTCAGAATCAATTCTAGTTCTTAACCAGGGTTGAAAGCGCCGCGACTTTTCAACCCTGGCCCCGTCTGAACCACATTCCGCACTTGCAAATTCTCGCGATTTTGAGACAAAAAATGAGACGCTACCCTCTTCCCTTACATAGGCAACCGCCACACGGCGCAGCTAATTGTTTCCAACAAAGAGGGTCCTGGATTTTCAACAAAAACCTAATTTTAACGTCGAAAACAGCTAATTTTGAAAATTGTTAGTGTGCAGTCATCCCAAGGCCATTACGCACCTAATGACGTATAAAACATACCCTAACTACCCCCTATTGAGATACTGCTGGAACAGTGACGGAAGTTGCAGCAAAGTGGCACACACACACACACACAAACACTATTTTTTATATATAGTAGGATCCTAGAAAGCCCATTTTAACTTTTTTTAAAACTTACGATCCTCCTTCGGTCGAACCATCTGAGTTGCCTGTGCCGGTCGAGACAAGCTGGCCCGAATTTGAGCAGCTCCCACACAATTCGAAAACAACGGCTGCATCCGCACCGGGGGTTGGCTAGCCGGAATGTTTCCTTGAAATTGACCGGCTCCAACGACTCGCGAGAAGAGCGGCGCGATTCCGGCAACGTTTCGGGAGAGGTGGTCTAAAAACCAGATTTAACTATTTCGATTTACCTAAATGTTCCCTAAATTCGAGATATGCCTATTCACGTCATTTTAATTTTGCTTTTGACAAAATTTAGCCATAATTCAAGCGTAAAACTTTTTAAACCTTAGAAAAATGTTTGAAAGTTCGAGCTTTTGGCCGAAAATTGGAAATTTTTAGTCAGAAAGACGACAATATTGTTTTTGATACTTCCACTCAAAAAGTAGTTTTGATGTACAGGAGTTGTGGAAAATCGTGAAAAAGTTTGGAAAAGGTTCTGCTAATTATATCGCGTTGAGGAGAGAAAAGAAACGAAATTTCCATAGCAAAAGTTCAGATTTTGCAAAAAAAACGCTATTCTACTAAACAAAATCAAACAAAACAAAACTAATTCACAGAGAAATCTGCTAATATAACTTTAGATAAACCCACTATTAAAAGCATTTGGCGGAAGCGGGGGCAGCGAAGTGCTGGGGCCGGGGAGAGAAGAAGAAGCTTCATAGTCATCCTCGTAGTATTCATCTAAAAATCTTTTAGTTTTTTTCCAAAAGCAACTCTTACCCATCGGCTCTGCCTTCACCTTTCCCATGTCGACTTGGGCTGGAAAAATTAGATATTGAGATTTTAGAGCATTTTTACCCTGCCATTCCTTTTCCTCTTCTTCCTCGAAATCAAAGTCTTCCTCGTCGGGGAGTTGGGCGTCGAGGGCTACCCAATGCTCGTCGTCAGCCATTGTAGAGCTTCTAAAAATTCGAACTTTCGTTGATTTATACTCTTAAGGTGCAAAAAAAGCTCAGAAAACCTATCTCAAGGGGAATCCATGATTTTTAACATGTCAATTTCCAAAAATTTTAGCTTCTAATTTCTGTTTCAAAGCTGTTAAGTAGCATAAATCTATTTCAATTTCAAACTGAATGTAGAGCTTCCAAAAAGCTTCGATTTTGTTTGTTTTTTCGTTTAAGATGTTATGAATTATTTAAAGCTACAGATTCTACAGAAACAAAACAAAATCGATTTCAAGTCCGCTGAAGGGCGCGTGAAAGCACTGAAAATCTCTCCCCGACCCGGCGAATTTGTAGTTTGTAGTGGGGAGACGGCGCCAAACGACTACCCCCTTTTTGAAAGAAGGTGACCAACCCCTGCATTAGAATTCGTAGTTTGCGAAAAAGCGCTAAGACACAAAAAATGTATCGTTGCCCTAAAACGACAAATTCTTATCAAGAGTCCCTGGCCGGGGAATTTGTAGCCTAGAAAATGGCGCCCGTCCAATCGACCGCCCGGCTGGCCCCAAACTACAAGACACAAAACTACACCAGATGTTTTTGGTGTGCAGCGAGATGGCTACAACTTTGTTATACCTGAAATATCCCTAATTTACAAAGTTACAAAAAAACTGAGAAAGCAGGTAACTTCAACCACTATAAAATTTTCAAAAAACCATAGCTAAACTACAACATATGTTTTTAAGATTGGCGATTTTGCTACTTTATTGGATTTTAAAGTATCTCTAATTTAACACAATTACAAAAGAAAACTTTTTTAGTAAGCTGGCCAAGTAGATGACTTCAGAATCTCTTAAAAAGCTCTAAAACGTTTTCAACTTGAAATGCGAAATTCGGATTCAAACTTTTCGTCTGTAAATTTTTACTATTACTTTCTTACTTTCCTAAATATTTTTCACAACTTAGCCTAATGTTATTACCGTGATACGAGAAACCGAGCAAATCAGCTGTCTTCCGAACGCCTTAAAAAATATTCCACGAAGTCAAGCACGAATTCAACCGTCCGAATCTATTGTTGGTTCAGAATTTTTATCAACAACGTAATGCCAATGATGGCAGTAAAATAACAAGGTAACAATTAACAAATCATGCAAGTTCGAGAGCCATCAAATTGCTAAAATGGCAACTGGCTAAAAATATCGAAACCGCGTTTCAACAACAATTATAGGAAGTGCGTCCAGTCTTCATCGCCAAGCTCTTCCTCGTCTTCTTCTGGCTCATGCTCATCGGTTTCACTCTTTTCGACCTCTTCCTCGTCGGGTTCATCTTTTTCTGGCTCGTGCTCATCTGTTTCACTCTTTTCCGCCTCTTTCTCCTCAGGCTCTCCTTCTTCCCCCAGTCCGGCCAGTTTTTGAGCCTTTTTCTTCGCTTGATCCTCCCGTCGCCTATAAAAAAAATAAAGCACTGTTATTACAGGTATCCGGAAGTAATGTAAAAACTTTAGAACGCGGCTCTTTCGCATTATGGGGGGGAGGGGGGATTTTTTTGTATGAATCTAGAAATGCCTAGTGACTTCATACAACGTATTTTCATAACGTTTTTCGCAAAATAAATCTAGATTTTAACTAGAAAAACTAACAACAAGCTATAAAAAATGTCAAGGAAATCGAAATTTTGATCAAAAAATGGAAAAGTTTTTACGTTTAGGAATAGTAAAAGCAGTTTAGAAGCCCTTCCGCTATTTATTTTTAAAAAATTGGTATCTAACTCCGAAAGAAAAGAATCCCCCCCCCGATAATGCGAAAGCACCTAGAACCCACTTCTTCAGCTCATAGCTCGCCCTTTTCCGCTTCAAATAGGCTTCGTGTTCCACCGGGTCACTTTTCCTGCGCCAGTAGCGTCGCCGACTTTTGGCCAACCTAAGATACTTCTGTCGCATTATCGGGAGGGGGGAGAGGTCCAATTGCTCTAATATAAATTTAGTGACTGTTTCTAAACTGTTTTTTTTTACTATTCCTAAACGTGAAAACTATACAAATTTTCATTAAAAACACGAAAGATTAGATTTTTATACCAAAAATGGACGATCGATAGTCAAAATTTCGACCTTTTCAAAATTTTGTTGACGTTTTTAGATAGATCTTCTCGAATTATAGTTATATTTAACTAGAAACATTACAATAATAGTTCCTATCAAGTTATTGGAGTTTTTGGCTTTTTTGTTTAAAGTTTGTAAAGTTGTTACATTTAGGACTAGTAAAAAACAGTTTCGGAACAATTATTGCATTTATATTAGAAAAAACAATAGGGTTCTTAGAGAAAATTCAGTTTCCGCTCCCCCCGATAACGCGAAAGAGCCTTTAATATATATTATTAAAGATTAAAGCGCCATAGCCTACTTTCGCTGCCTCTTCAGCTCGGCCTTGATTTTCCTTTGGTGGTCGGCTTCCTCCAGCATAGCGTCCAGTTCTGCTTCTTGCGGCGCTGTTAAGGCATATCGACTGAAAACAAAATGATTTTAATTGTTTTATATGAATTCACTCACAATCTCATCTCGTACCACTTCTTCCGTTTCTCGCCGTCGTAATATAGCGGAAACCCCGGCTGGAAATATCCGACGCGGAACAGGAACTCGCGGCGCAATTTGGGCGGCAATCGACTGAAAAGCGGAAAATAAAAGAATAGAAAAGAAAGGGGACTTTGGCAATATCCAGGGGGGGCACCGTTTTCCTGTAAGTCCGGGATTTTCTAGTAACGTAAATGTAAAAGTTTTAATAACGTTTTAGGAAAATATAAATATTTTCAACTACCACAACCATCTAAAAATTCTAGAAATTTTTTTTAATCGAAATTTTGGTCCAAAATCGGCTATTTTTGGCTGAAAAACCTCCATATTTTTTTGTATTTCTAACCAAAATTTGGAAAGCTCGCAGGTTTGCAAGTGGTAAAAAGAAGCACTTCCCCTATTCCTATTAAGAATTCGATGATAAGAAAAAAAAAGTTGTCCCCCCGATAATGGGAAAGAACCAGTATAAAATAGCTATAAAACTCACGTCAGATATTTGGATGTCGGTTCGTTGAACGTCACTTCCGGGTAATCGGCTCGTAACTTTTCGCCCAGCGTCAGAATCGGGTCCTCGACGTCGGCGGCGAGGGGCGCGGCTGGAAACAGAAATTCTAGGAAAAAATTCTTAGAAAACCGAAAGTTAGGAAAAGTTAGAAGAAAAAAGCAATACCTTCTGGCGGCGCTTCCGGTGAGCAGGGCGATTCAGCGTCGAACAGCGTGTTCGAAAACGGGGCCGGGAAGTGTTTGACTAAATTAAAGAAATCAGGTCCTTTCGATTGCAACTTTAAGGGTTACATTAAAAAGAACATTGAGAAAATAAAACTAAATCAAACGATTTGCCAACAAAATATGGAAATTTCGGAACGTCAAACTTTTATAATGTCGAATTCGTCATGTCGACACTTCAAAATATAGAAATTCGGCATGCAAAATTTGCACAATTCGGGGTTTCCGGGTGATTTGGATGCGTAAATTTCGAAATTCTGAATTTTCGTCGTTGTCAAATTTATACATTCTTAATTGTCGAGAGTCTTAAAGTACCCCAAAAAATACGGGTTTCTTTCAAAATGTCGAAAATCTTAATGTTGAAATTCATAATATCGAACTTTCAGAATATCGAAATTACGGAATGTCAAAACGTTTTGCATCGGATTCGCGGGAGATTCGCATATGCAAATTACGAAATTATGAGTTTTCGACATTGTTAAATGTCGGCATTATGAAATTTAGACATTGTGATTTTCGACATTCTTAAAGTACCCAAACAAAACTTACTCCACCACCGCTCCTGCCCGATCAGTGGCCCGTTTGGTTGAGGCTGAACTGGCGGTATCGCTTCAGCCACTAAAAAAATTTTTAAAATAATCAATGTTTTCGTATTATGGCAGCTATTGAAAAAATTAAAATAGTTAAAAATCGATACCTTTCGCGAAATACGGGCCGAAATCCAGGCCAGGGCTCGTCAGCCCCGATGGTGAGGTGGATTTTTCGGCCGACGAACCCGGCGACACGACACGGCAGTACACGACACGGCATGTGGAGGATTGCTGATCTTCTGCTACTATAATAGATTTTTTTGAATAGGTTCTTCTCTCTTAACGGGGGAGGGAACAAATTTTTCCCAAGTAATTCCGTACAGCCCTATTACGAAAAGGAAATTATTGATATAGTAGTTTACGCAGTTTTAGAGACAAAAAAGATCATAAAAAGTCATAAATTTTTTTAAATATGGCCGAAAAAGGGCCAAAATTTTCAAATTCCAAAACTTCTTAATTTTTTATGATAAACTATTTATTACTGACAACTAGGTACCCCCCCCCCCCCGTTCACAGAGAAGATCCTTCAAATAATTTAGATTAATTAAAATATTTTAAAATTGTACATTAACTAAAATTAATTAAATACAAACAGAGTGAGGCATATACATCGCAGGACATTTTCTTTCTTTTCGCTTCGTTCCTTCGTTCTTTTTGTTTCTCTCACCCTCTCTCTCGCTCACTCGCCTTTGTTTGTTGTATTTTTTTATTTATTTTTTATTGTTTCTTTCTCTAGCACTTTTTGAATTTGATTTATCGCACACTGAAATTCAGCAATTTTGTCGAAAAAACTGTTGTGTTAGCAGGCTTCTCCTAGGATCCAGGATCTGGGTAGCGCTTCTTCAGAGTTCTGCCCCCAGCCGAGACCAAATCTGAAATGTTTTTCCTACTGAAAATAAATGAATTGCTGCCCTTACCTTTGTTTGAAGCCTGCTGAGGTCGTGCTCCAAGTTGTGACGTGCCAGGCCCACCCCTACGTCGCAAAGTTTTTCCTCGAAAATACCGTTTATAGGGTTGTTGCGTTCTAAAATTTCAAGGGATGAATATATTACGACAAAGTACGAAGCCCCAAGATAAGATTTTATATTTTTCAGGACTCGGAAAGATATATCTGCCTCACCTTGTAGAATCGGCCCTATAATTTTTTCCCCAGGAATCCCGTACGGCCCTATAACGAAACATTATTACAGGATTTTACATAGTTTTTAGATATCAACATAAATAACACAAAATTTTTGAAAATTTTTGACGTTTTGGTTAAAAATCATCAAAAAGCTCAAAATTTTCGAATTTTCCATTTTTTTAAAAGTATTTTTATGAATTTCTAGCAATCAAAACCGCCAAAAACACTCGAAAAAATACATCACATAGCATCAACAGGTATACGTGGAAAACCATAAATTGGTTTCCCCCTGCTAGAAATCCCCCCGCTAAAAGCTCAGAACCAAAAAATTACCTTCAATCGGTTCCGGCTTTGTGGTTGTGATCACGGCAGGAGCTTCTTTAGATACTTTTCGCAAAACCATAGTTCTCTTTACCACTTGAGGGCTTCGAGTTTCAGAAGATGACGCTGAAAAAGCGTCATCAGAAACGTAGCGGAAAATAGTTACAAAATCTCCAAAATCATCTAAAAAAAATACCTTTCGCGGGCTTTTCTTCAGTCACCGGCTCGTTAGCTATTTTCCGCGTTTCCGGTCCCGATTCTCCATCAGCTGATTCAGCTTCTAAAACGTCTTTACACCTTTTCCAAAAAAATCAAATACCTTCCATCCCCTCCTCGTGCTCCTCCCGTACCCATACTTGTTTCTCAGCCGGCGTATAGTTCCAGTGGATCATCCTCCGCATCTCGTCGGGCGTCATTAGGCTGGTCCCGTTCTGGGCCAAGGGCGGGAATGCTGAAAATAGATATTAACGTATATTTATAGAATTAGTTTATTCTCGGTTAAAAAATTAAAAATTATTTTTTAAATGTTGAAAATATTTATCATTAAAAACAATTTTCAAAAAATAAAAATAACATCAAGTATTTTGAAAATCAAGGAAATTAAAAATTAAAACTCACCAGTTTTGGGCTTCTTTGCCAACACTGTCGGTTCTGGGAATGTGCCGTAGTTAGAGCCTGAAATTTAGGGTTTAAGGTTAAAGCTAAATAGATACCTTGAGAACTCGTCCCATCGTTTTCCGGAAACGGCATCGACTCCGACAAGGATGAAACTTTCTAGAAAAATTACAGTGATCTTCTCAGCTGCACAGAAAAACATCGACAAAAAAATCATATAAAATTTTACCGTCTTTTCCGGTTCCGTTGACTTGGCTCGCTGGATTTGGTCAGGCTTGTCGGACATATCGGTCTCGATAGCGACGGGAGCTTCTAAAAATATTTTCTTAAATCAAACAAAAAAACAATGCAATCTCGTTTAAAATTGAAACTTACCGCCTTCAGCATTGAGTTTGATCGCTAGTTCCTTGGGCATCCGCCGAAGGCTAGCAGAAACGGGACCTGAAAAGGCTTATAAATTTATGTATCTCTTCTAATCAGTTTTATTAATTTAGTCCGGGACGCTGAGCTTCTAAAATCACTACACCGAATTAAAAAATTCGGAGCATGCACTATTTTGCTAAAAAAACGATAACATGGTGCTTCAACGTTATCGGGGGGGGACTGTTTTCCTTACGGTCTAATTTTTCTAATATAACTAGAGGCTTTTCTAAACCTTTTTTATCATTCCTAAAAGTAATGACTTTATAAATCGACCTGAAATATAGTTGTTTTCCTTAAACTAATCCCCCACCTCCGATAACGCAAAGAACCGCCAGAATTCATACCCATATAAATAACAGCCGGACGGCTCTCCTCTGCCGCTCTTGCTCGTCGTTGCAGCTCCTCACGAGACTTCAATTCTTCAGCCACATCCGGATCGAAGTACCATTCCCGATGCTGTTGGCGCGTCCTGGCTGCAAATAAATTCGAGTAAGGCCGGAGAGCAGAACGCCTACCATTTGACAGATTCCAGAATTTCTGCCCGAGCACATGGTTGTCTAAAACGGATTTTTTTATTAAATTTTGGTGCAAAATATTAAAAAAGATAGATTTTGACCAAAATTTAGATTTAAAATTTTTTTTAGATAGCTGTTGCTTTTTTAATAAAGTTATATTCTGCTAAAACACGGATCAAACAACTATTAAGTTACTAGTTTTAAAGTTGTGGTTTCAATTAAATTTTTACACTTGCACACCCCCCCCCCCCCCCACCAGATAATGAGAAAATGAGAAACCTCCAATTTTAAAAGTCTTGAATTTTCAGTATTCAAGTAGCATTAAGTGCAGATGTAGGCCCCAGTAGTCTTATTAACGCGCCAAATACCTCAAAATGTTGCTTCGTCAAATGCTTGGATTACAGTGCCTTTAAAAATATAGTAAACAGCCATTTTCAAGCGATTTATTGTGCGATCAAACTCATTTAATAACAAAAATCTTGATAACAATACAAACTATCTAAATTTACACGAATTTATACGCCTCTTTGATCATGGACAAAAAGTCCTCAAACGGGTCAATGCTTTTCGAGCGACATTTGCGGCGCCAGGAAGCCTCCACCAGCGCGTCTGCGAAAGTGTCATCGGAGACTCGCCGGCCCCGGAAATCAGCCTTCAAAGTGGCTTCGTCAAGTTGCTGAGCTACGTCTGCAGGGGCAGCTCGTCCAAGCGGCTCGATATCGTCTACGACTTCATGGAAATATCCATATTCCGGAAGGCGGGAATACGCGCTCCAGTCATCGGTCTTGATCGTGGTTCCGGGGAGCACGAGCTGTTGAATCGATGGGATCATGTCTTCAGACGATGGGCACGTTACGACATGAAATTCGTCGGTGCCCTCACCGACAATGGCGAGGGCCCAATGCCCAGCGATACTCGAAAAATGCCCTCGATAAAACTTTCGGTTTACGAATTGAGCCTGATAAAGCAGCACCGTCTTTTCCGGTCCGCCAAGCAATGGCTGATGCTCGGTCGGCTTTTGGCGCTCACTGTTCGATTCAGCCTGGTCAATTTTTATCGACTTTCCGGGTCCGCCAAGCTCATGCTCATCCTCACTCGGCTCTTGGCGCTCGTTCTCCAATCTTGCCGTGACGACATCAACAAGGAATTCTCGGCAAAACCGGTATAAATCGCTTATTGTCTGTCGGGGTGTCTTGGATGTGGATTTTCCGACGAAATAATCGTCGCCAAGGGCTTCTTGTATAGCCATCTCGTACGTTTCACAATTACCGAACGAGTATGCGATAGAGATACTTCGGATAATCGACAGATTCGTCGCCGAAAACCACGTTCCTTTAATTCGGGAATATTCTTTGTCACGCACGCGGCAGTTTCGCCTCTTGCAGACAAAGGCGCCGTAGATGCCCACCTTGCCTCGTGTCTTGAGTATCATCTCCCAGTTACAGTTGGGGCACCGTTTGCTTGCCGGAAGCAGCCCGCTCTGCGTGGCCCATTTGACGGCTTCCGCTTCGTCGGGCATTTCGCGTGTGAGGCGTCGCCGGCTCGATTTCAGAGGTTGAGTGTTGTCGAGTTGCAAAAAACCGGCTGGAAACGTCGGAAATAGTTTTGGTATTGTTTTTTATTGGGCCGAGCGACGGTTCCGGTTCTTCTCCTCTAACGGTGGGGAACCAATTTTTATTTTTCACCTGTTACTAATGATAAGTGTAGTTTTTGAAAGTTTTTAGTATTTTTAATTCTTAGTAGACTGATTAAATTAAATTAAAATTAAAATTATACTACAACCTGACAATACCAAGACGGCGCTATTGGGAAAAAAATTGGTTTCCCCCTGCAAACAGTCCAGCAAAAATTGCTTTATAATTTTTTTTTTGCAAAAAAGTGTCTCTGCAATCCAAGTATTTGACGGGGAAGGACTGTTTTGAGATACTTGGCGCAATAATTTCGATATTGTGCTAATTTCTATTCTGAAAATACGATATTCTGATTTTCGAGATTCCGAGCGAGGTAAATCCAAAAGCCCCATTCTCGAGGTTGAAATCCAAAAGAAACCTGGTTTCTCATTCGCGGAACCGTTGATTTGATCCTGTTTCAGAGGCAAGACCGGCTTCTGGGTCGCTGACGATGTAGCTGGAGCAGTGGAGGTGGTAGGAGTCTCTAAAATAAAATATTAGTGAACGTTCCGAAAACATAAAAGTAGAAGCGCCGAGTTTCTCAAGACGTTCAGCTCGAGCTAAGAATTTTGTAACATTTTAACTTATTTTGACGTTTTTCATGGCTGAAGTTGCCTTGCGAATTTCTTAAAAAACTTTTGTAAGCTGTATTTTCGATTTTTCTCCCTTTTAGTGTCCCATAAAAGTTGAAAAACCCTACAACAACTTTATTCAACAACTTCAGCGATAAAACTCTCGGAACATGGCCAGAATATCATCAAACGGGTCAATATCATACAAGGCGCATTCGCGACGCCAAGCGGCTTCGTGCGCCAGCTGGATCCTGTTGGCGTTGACGGTGTGGCACTCGTTGATGTAGTTGAACAGCGGGCCCCAATTCGTCAGGATCGACCTCGGGTTCACGGAGTGTCGATTCACAATCGCGTGGGTATATCCAGACTCCGTGAGGGCCGAATAGGCTGGCCAACCTCCGGTTTTTACGGTAGTTCCGGGCTGGATATACTTTTCGAGAAGCGGAAGCAGGTCTTCTGAGCTTCTCGTGCCCTCCACATGCTGCTCATCGTACGGGCAAACTACGAGCCTGAGCTCTTCCGAGACCTCCTCGATTATCGCAAGTACCCAATCTCCCACGAGGTGAGGATGAACTTTTTTGGGTACAAACGTCAGCTCCTGAATTCCGACGACGCCGGCAAGTTTCCGCTTTTCCTCGCTTCTCGCTATAAATCGCTGCACGACAATCCGGCGGCAGTACGCGTAGAACTCGCCGATCGTCTCCCGGCTTGAGCGAGCGCCTAGGTTATCCTTGGCCAAAGCTTCTTCCCCGGCCTCCTCGATAAGTTCACTCCGCACAAACGAGTAGACGAACGACATGTTGCGCGGGATGGATAGCCGAGCGTGCTGGAACCACGTGCCGTGCGACTGGGTGAACTGCTTGAGGACGTTGGGGCACTCCTTGTTCTTGCAAATGAAGGCGCCCCAGGAACTGTGCGCCCCGCGCCGCCAGAACGCCATTTCGCGCCCGCAGCTCGAGCACAGCTTCTTGGCGGGGAGCAGCCCGGCGGATATGGCCCATTTTAGGGCGGCCTGCACGTTCGGCAAGGTGAGGGCGAGGCGCTCGCGGGTCCAGATGAACGTTTTTGGCTTGTTTTTTATCTTCATCTGCTGAGCGTTGATTACATCGAGGCGCTTTGCTGTAAAATGGGCGCTTCGCATCGCTTTAACCGGTGTTATAACAAATCGGAGTACGGTTTTTACCGCTGGCAAATCGGGTGTTTATAGGAATTACATGTCGTCATCGAATCCCCCGGGTTCTCCCAAAACATTAAAAAATCTAATTTTGTTTTTAAAATTAATAAAAAATTTCGATTTTAAATTGGTCTATTCAACTTTTACGTTTATTTCAGCTGAACTTTTTAAACTACGAGTTTAAATTCTATTTTTTAAAGATGTCTACTTTTTAAATTTTACAAAACGCATGTTTATAGGAATCACGCGTAGCATTTGTTTGTAAGTATTAAAAGGAGCTGAACGCCTTGAGATCCACGGAAACCAGGCAACCAACGTGAGTTTCGACCAGATGTTGTCTAAAAACCCACCAATAACTGGCGGCTTTTCCGGTGTGTTCGGTTTGGCCTGGGGTCGAGCAGGAGTATCTTGAGTTATTCGACGCATCGTGGTGGGAGCTGCAGTCGTAGCTTGCGGACCTAAAAATTGGGATTTTAAGCTGTATTCAAAAGTTCATTTTAAACCAGAGATAATTTTGAAATCCGTTTTAAAGATAATACAGCTTAAAATAACCCCCACCTATGCCCGGCGGCTTTTCCGGCGAGTCCGGCTTGGAAGTCGATCGAATTAGCCGCTCTTGAGTTATTCGGCGCATCGAGTCGTTAAGAATTACCCTCTGGGCTGATCGTGCTAAAACTGTTTTTTAAACGTTTAATTCTGAAAGAAAAAACCTTTAAAATTTAAAAATTGACGAAAACAAATTTCATCCGAAAAGACATTTTTATTTTTGAAAAACCAACCCAAAACGGGCGACATTTTCGGGATGGGCGGAGCCAAAGTGGATGAAGTTGCGGTGGGTTGAATCATTCGACGCATCATGATGGGGGCCTGGCTGGTGGCGGGCGGAGCTAAAAAGACTGGATTATAAATAATTTACAACGAGTTAATGAAATTTAAATGAAGGCTTTAATGGTGATGTAGTTATACTAGCATCAAATTTAAGTAGCTGTTAAAATTAAATAGCTAAAAACCAACCCGAAACCGGCGCTGAAGTTGATGGGGTAGCGCCGTTGATTATCCTGCGCATAATTCTTGGTCCAGCGTTTGCAGGTTGTTGGACTAAAAAATATTTATAAAATAAAACGTACAAATATTACTTCTGATTTTAATTTTAGAAAAAAACCGAATCTTTCAGGGGCTAAAAAGACTTTAAAAGGCTGTCCGCCAGTCACTCGAACTGTTCCCATTATGGCTTGGCACAGTTTTTTTCGACCCTACTTTTTATGATGCCATCTGAAAGAGCGTGTTTGAATTAGTAGGGTGGCATAGTTTTGAAAGTTTTAAAAGTTAATTTTTGTGGCTTAAATGGGCGTTAAAGGTTTCGACCTCGAAAAACTATCTCGAAAACTTCTGAACCAAACTCGCTGAAAATTTGTAACAATACCTAATTTGGCATAGGGATCATTTCTCTAATACATTGCAAAACCCAAAAATGACCGGAACATGGTTAAATTGCGTACTAAAAACAGTATTTCGACACTTTCGAATTTTGGGACACCTCAGCGCAACTGCAAAATAGCATAGAAAGATGCGCCAAAAAATTCTGCGTCGAATGACGTATTGATCGTGTTGCGCCCAGGTGTCCCAATATTACTATAACGCGATTTGTGTGCGGAAAATGCAACAAAAACGACCCCTAAAAATACAAAATTGTTTGTTTTGAAAATAATACATATGAATTTGCATGTAGTCGTCATGCTGAAACCATTGCAAAAAAGAGCAAAAAGAAATTCGGCTTCTGAGAGGGGCTGGGATTGAACTGGCGCCAGCTCTGGATTGGCACGCCGACGTTTTCCTCATTGCGCCAGCAGTGGCCCCCAGGCATTTATCCCGAGTTCGATTCAATGACATCGAAATAAACCGAATTTCTTTTTGCTCTTTTTTGCAATGGCTTCAGCATGACGACTACATGCAAAATCATGTCTTGTATTTTCAAAACTAACAATTTTGTATTTTATAGGAGTCGTTTTGTTGCATTTTCCGCCACACAAATCGCGTTATAGTAATATTGGGACACCTGGGCGCAACACGATCAATACGTCATTCGACGCAGAATTTT